TCAGTGTCCTTTGTGTGTGTATGTGTCAGTGTCCTCTGTGTGTCAATGTGTGTGTGTCATGTTTAAATCAATAGAAATTACTTTCTCGAGGCATGGGTACTTCGGAAAGGTTTTTTTAGAGCTTCAGGGGTACTTCTCCGTAAAAGGTTGAGAAACGCTGTTGTACATTACTGTGTTTTAATGCAGTTCAGCTCTCTCATACCTTGATACACCCTGCACATTATTACTGTGGATTTTAATAGCAAACAGCATGGAGAGTCAAACTGTGACTCTTTGATGCTAAAATATAAAATTATCTCATGTTATTCTATGATACAACAATAAAGTAAAAATAAAAAAATAAAAAAATCATATGTAGTCTGGTTAAAGAAACATAGAGGCAGCTCATATTAATGGCAGCCCTACTGGAACACTAGCAGAAACATTGATTCTTGGGAGAAGTAATAGGGAGCTTGTGGACCATATTTTTCTATTCCACTGTGTAGAGTTACATGATAGAAGTCCACGGCTGGGCCTGTTAGGTGTCAGACTTACTGAGGACTATGAGATGGAAGATAAGTAGGCATTTTTGTATCCGAGAGGAGATTGATGCCAGTTTTAGTAGTCATGGCAGTAGAGCCTATATTAATGGTTATCTGCTAATCGTCAGAGATGATTAAAAACTACATTTCCCACAATTCTTCTCTGCCTAAAAAGGGTGCCAAGATTTCATATCACCATAATAGGGTCTCAGTGGATACTGCTGAGTCCCGGCCTAGTAGGTTAGTATTACAATATCTTGCAGTTACTTATTCAGCAAAATGTTCTTTATTTGCCCTTGGGTGGGCGGCAGGAGAAATATATTCGCTAATGTAATATATATAGTTTTAAAGTTACCGAGTTCCTTTAAAGATGTACGTTTCTGTAGAGGAGAAATTCTTATGTAAAAACACAAATTGACTTTTATCAGGGGAAGAAGTGGTTCACAAAAGCAGGTTGACAGTGCCCGGTTTCGGTAAAATTCTCCTTTTGTTTAACACTTTCACAGAGTTTCTCTGGTGCCTCCAACAACAAACACCAACTCTTTGTGTGTGTGAATTAATGTCATGTACACCTTTGTCACAGCACACTGCACCTGTATTCCTCTCTACACTAACACTTGTACACTCATTTACTGACTTATTGACACAAGAACTACAATAGGAGTAACCAGACAATTTGGAAATTTTCGACAACTGACATCATGCCAAACATTACATTACATATTATTATTATTACTGAAAATAAAACGATACATGTAATATAGTTTTGTTGTATATTATTTTGTAGTGAATACATATACAAGGTAATCGTTTTTCAGTGTATCTCTCGGCTTACCCTTCTGCTGCGACATTCACCTTTTGCCTTTAGAAGCATTGTTAATCTGCTAGGACCAGGTACAATTTGTAGGTCTGAAAGGTTATCTCAGCGTAATCCAGATAATGGAAGTTGAATTAAATATAATTTTTGGGAAGGCGAAACAGTGAGGAACAGTCTGACCCAGAGATTCCCAAGCCTTGCGTCCTGGTGCACCGTGACAGGCATACAGGGGTGCCACTGGATCCCACAATGTCAGGGTGCCCACCAGGTGGCCCATTCACTTACAGCCACCCGATGGGTATTACTGCTTTATTGCTGAACAGAGGAATGGTCCAGCTCTGTGGCCCTTTAAGAGTGCGACCGGGTCACTGTTGTATCAGTAGGCTGGGAGGAAGTGACAGCCTGTCACTTCCTTCCAGCTTCTAACTGAGAGACCACACATTAGGGAGAGGAGGCAGCCACACAGGCATGAAGGGAAAGAAGTGCAAAGATTGAGCTGCCCCAGACCCCTCAATCCCATACACCAGCAGCAGGACCAGGACCTCACGTAAGCCACTCTCCTGGACACAAAAGGTAAGCTAACAGGAGGGTGGCTGCAGAAATAAAAAAATATCACATGTGTTTATGTGTATGTCAGATTGTTTGTGTGTGTCAGTGTGTGTATCTGTGTTAAGGTGTGTGTATGTGCATCAGTGTGTTTGTATCTGTGTATCAGTGTGTTTGAGCTTCTGTGTGTCAGGGTGTGCATCTGTGTGTGTGTGTATATATGTCAGTGTGTGTATCTGTGTGTCAGGGTGTGCATCTGTGTATGTGTATGGAGATCTGTGTTTAAGGGTGTTCATCAGTGTGTGCATCTGTAGGTGTGTGTGTTTATGTCAGTATGTGTATTTGTGTGTGTATGTGTCAGTGTTTGTGTGTGTCAGGGTGCATGTATTTGCATGTTAGGGTGTGCGTTTGTGTATATATTTCAATGTATGCATGTGTCAGTGTGTGGGTATATATCTAACTGTGTATGTGTCGGTGTCTACATGAATTTGTGTGTATGTGTCACTGTATTTATATGTATCTGTGGGTTAATATATATGTATATCTGTGTAAGTATGTACAGAGTCTGACAAAAGTGAGTACACCCCTCACATTTTTGTAAATACTTTATTATATCTTTTCATGTGACAACACTGAAGAAATGACACTCTGCTACAATGTAAAGTAGTAAGTATACTGTCACGGTTCTCACCTGATAGACAGACGGCAAGACGTGGTCGCTCTTGGAGTTCCCAACAGGGGACTTGAACCGGGGATCTTCTCAGTCCTGGTCCTGCTTTCTACCTCTGAGCCACAGCAGCTATTTACAGTGAAGACTGATTCCAATCCTGTTCATCCTGACATGGCTACTACTCTGGGGGCTGCACCTTGACTTGGCTGTGTTTCACCTGACTCTGATCAGTCATCAGCAGGGTATATAAACCCAGCCTCGCCCTGTGCTCAGTGTCAAGTCCTTGATCCTGTTTGTTCCAGTGTTCCTGTTTCATCGCTTCGCATTATTGACCCCGGCTTCCTGACTCGTTTATTCTGACTTCTGGCATCCCTTGACTTCGGCTACTCCTCGTTGTTCCTGTCCTCTGGCATCCTTTGACCTCGGCTATCCCTCGACCATCCTTCTGGTTCAGTCCTTGCCTGTCCTGCGTATTGGTACTGCATCCTGCACAGCCCCCGTGCACAGACCCACAGGCCAGGTGAATTCTTACCTGACCACCTCGGCCTGTGGCTATCTGCAAGGGTGAGCATCATATCTGCGCTACAGACTCCCAACTCAGGTAAGACCCTGACATAAGGACTTGACCATTATGGAGTCCGCTGAGATGTGCTCACCCTCGACCCAGCGTGTGTCCAGCCTGGCCCAGACTGTTTCGGAGCTGCAGCAAGAAATTTTATTCCTTAAAGGCGCAGTACATCCAGCCCCGGAACCAGCTTTTCCTGAACCGTTTGTCATCATGCCCGACCGATTTGATGGTAGCCGCACATCCTTTCAGTCTTTCAAGATGGATTGTGAGGTGTTGTTTTCCTTAAAGCCTCGAACATATGCCACAGAATTCATCAGGGTCAGAGCGGCTATCAACCTGTTGTCTGGACGCATCAAAGTTTGGGCTCACCAAATGTTGCAGATGAAGAGTCCTGTCCTGGTCAGCTGGGAATCCTTTAGTACTGCTATGGACTCACAATGTAAGACCACTGTGGCCAAGTCAGCTCCACGTACTAAAAAATCTCAGACTCTTCCTAACCAAGAAACCGAGTACCACCACTACGCCCCAGAAATGCCTCCTTATGTTCCAGCTCCCAGGAAAACTCCAGAGGTATCCGGTGTTCCACTTGACCCTGTGGAACCTATGCAATTAGGACTCGTCCACTGCAAAGTGACACCTAAGGAAAAAGACCGAAGGAGAAGCTATGGCCTATGTTATTACTGTGGAGAAAAAGGGCACTTCATCACGCTTTGTCCTGTTCGCCCTCCTAGACCTCCAGCTCTCCGACTTGGTACTAGTTTCCTTCGCCCTGTGTACACCGCATACCAGCCTAAAAAGCCAAATAGAAGCCGTTGTGCTTGCACATGCTTGGCTTCCGCAAGAAAACCTCCATCCCCTGCTCCAGAGCCTCCTGCATCTACTCCCGAAGTTGCTTCCTGTGATACCACCACTACTTCCTGCCCGCCCGAAGAGGTTTTACCTGTGGATTGTGCCGTTACTTCTAATGGCACTATAGTCCGTAAAGAAGACCTTGATATGTTCGAAAAAGCATTGTTAGCTGCGAACACTGCTCCTGCCAAAGTTTTGGAAGTGCTTGCCACCTGTACCCGGAACCTAAAAGACCTGGACAATTCTCCAGCCGTACCAGAAGCCGGTACTGCGGACTCCCAAGCTGTAAAGGGAATCCTTGCTAGGGAGTTTGACTATGGGGACTCACTGGATTCAGATAGTGACCCTGGAGAGGTGTACTATGCTGACAGTGAACCTATTTACGCCCGGAGGTTGTTTTTAAAGGGGGGGTACTGTCACGGTTCTCACCTGATAGACAGACGGCAAGACGTGGTCGCTCTTGGAGTTCCCAACAGGGTACTTGAACCGGGGATCTTCTCAGTCCTGGTCCTGCTTTCTACCTCTGAGCCACAGCAGCTATTTACAGTGAAGATTGATTCCAGTTCTGTTCATCCTGACATGGCTACTACTTGGGGGGCTGCACCTTGACTTGGCTGTGTTTCACCTGACTCTGATCAGTCATCAGCAGGGTATATAAACCCAGCCTCGCCCTGTGCTCAGTGTCAAGTCTTTGATCCTGTTTGTTCTAGTGTTCCTGTTTCATCGCTTTGCATTATTGACCCCGGCTTCCTGACTCGTTTATTCTGACTTTTGGCATCCCTTGACTTCGGCTACTCCTCGTTGTTCCTGTCCTCTGGCATCCTTTGACCTCGGCTATCCCTCGACCATCCTGCTGGTTCAGTCCTTGCCTTCCTGCGTATTGGTACTGCATCCTGCACAGCCCCCGTGCACAGACCCACAGGCCAGGTGAATTCTTACCTGACCACCTCGGCCTGTGGCTATCTGCAAGGGTGAGCATCATATCTGCGCTACAGACTCCCAACTCAGGTAAGACCCTGACATGTACAGCCTATATAACAGTGTCAATTTGCTGTCCCCTCAAAATAACTCAAAACACACTCATTAATGTCTAAACCTTTGGCAACAGAAGTGAGTACTTAGTTTTGTGAGATACTGTATGTATGTGGTAGTGTATGTGCATACATTCAAGCAAGCACCAGCACAACATGCAAACACACTCCTGCAATCTAACACAAATATTACATACAAACACACCCCTGCATTTAAACTCCCAAATTATGTACAAACACACCCTTTCACTCAAACACCAATACTACACACAAATGTACATCGGCATTTAAAAGTGAACATTACATTCAGACACACCCCTGCAATCAAAAGCAAACATTATATACAAACACACCTCTGTTTTAAAACACTAAAAGTTTATACAAGCCACCCTTTCAATCAAACACCATCACTATGCATTATACAATAGCGCCAGTGTATGCTTTAGCGCTGTACAGATATGCAATCAATAATTTTGTCTCGACTTGGAGCGTCTTGGAAAAATATTGAATTATTAAGTGTGCATTGAAGCTAAAAAGTTTGGCACTCACTGGTCTAACCATTGGATTACAAGAAAGTGAACTCTTCATTTACGTAAAAGGGGGGTGCCCAGGAGACTTCCGAGCACTCTAGTGTAATAAATACATGTATTTACTCTGTCATACTGGAGTGTTCCTTTAAACAACACACAACTGACTTAACTTTCTCGCTTTAAATGTTTCTTTTAATATGTATTGCAAAGGTACAAAATTCAATTCCTCAATAGCCTTTTTATGTAAATGTTCTTAATAGGAGATTTGTCTTGGAACTCTGAATAATCTCTGATTGATGGTAATAGCCCCAAGTATGACATATTAGCTGTCAACAGAGGTTAACAACAAGGGACTTGTTTTATTTATCATTTCATTGTCCCTGGTCTTCCAAAGTAAACTTCTAAAAACTCTTTCTGTGATCACTCGCTAGAGGGTCCTTTCATTGCCCTTTCAAACTCCCATTAGACTTCTATTATTTTAACTCAGGGGACATTTCTCTTACTGACAAAAAAAATCAACTTTCTATAACCAAACAAAATGCACTAACCCCCTCCAGGAAAAGTAGGGTTAATTAGAAACTCTGCTATATGACCCCCGTTTAAATAAATAACGCTTTCACCATTTGTCAACAACATACCTGGTGTGGAAAAATGTCCTAATGTAGGTTTTTTTTCTAAAAGCTAAAAAACAATTGAACTTTTTTCACATATTTCCTATTCTGTTTTGTATTTATACAAATTAGACGAAAAAAAAAAACTCCCAGTGGCTGGGAATGACTTTCAATAAAACGAAGACATTTTTTTTGTTTTCGGTTTTGACAGAACACTTAACATGACAAACTGTTTACCTATTGTTGCATGCATTTAGTGCAAATGTTTTTACTGACAGCACATAGCCTTTCAGCCAAGCATGGCAATACCAAATTCCTTAAAAGTACAAGGTAAATAATAGCAAAAAGTTTCTCAAGCAGATTTGACACAGGCGCAGGCACAAGTCGAGGGAAGAGTCACGGTCAAGCATTTTATATGACGAGGGACTCGTAGAAACATGTTGACAAAAACACAGCACTTGAATTTATACATAGCCTGATTACTTTCTACCTACATAGAATAAAACGTAACATTGATTACTTTATAGACACATAAACAGTGAACATTGATTTTCATTACATGTAAATGATAAAAAAACAAAACCTCCTTTTTTATATACTCTACATGTACAGTAATGATGGCTGCCGTAGTATTGAAGATAGAAACATAGAATGTGACGGCAAATAAGAACCATTCGGCCCATCTACTCTGCCCAATGTTTGACCAGATGTCCCATGATGCTCTGAAAGTCTTTAGGTTACCCATGACTGAGGTTAAGGGCAATTTCAAGGTTGTTTAGTATGCAGCTCCCTAGCTTGTCTTATTATTATTATTATTATTATTATTATTATCGCCATTTATATAGTGCCAACAGATTGCATAGAGCTTTACAATATAAGAGGGGGTGGGGGGGGACTATAAATAGGACAACCACAAGAAAACTTACAGGAACAATAGGTTGAAGAGGACACCATTAACGCTATGCAAGCAAAAGGCATTGTGTTTAACTATTCTTTTAAATTGCTTTCTGTCCTACTGACTTCACTGCTATTATAGGGAGTCTTCAATAATAAAGGAACACTCCAAGTACCATAACCAGTGTGGCGTTGTAGTGATTATGGTGCAAAGAGCGCCCTTACACCCTTCATTGTAAGTAGTCAAACATTTTAGAATGGCATGACTTCTTACCTGGAGTCCACCAGGCTCTGCTCCCTTCCTTCACTACTTCCGACGAAGTGCCAGAAGCTGACTATCTGAGCTAAAATGGGGAAGGGTCTGGACATTCCTGGCTCCATAACCACTGCAGCACGCTGTAGATGTTGGTTATGGTGCTCGGAGAGTTCTCTGAACAATAGGAAGTGCATTCAAATGTAAAAAATCAATTTTAATGGCCTCACCCTAGGATGGTAAAATAGCAGCAGGTACTCTAAGAAAGGTTTTGCTATTATTTTCTTTTAGACGGTGTCAAAGATACATCATTGCCAAGAACATAGACCTATTCATAATTTAAGTAACAATCCAGTTCTATAATCTGTTTAAAAGGAAACTATAGGCTGTATTTATTTAGCAAAAAAACATTTGCGGTGTGCGGGAGTGTCGCTTACAAAGCAGGAGATATTTGGAATCTGAATTGGAGAACTTGGGCCAAATTTACTAAAATTGAATATTCTAGACATCTGTTCTTTTTCCATCATCACTATCTTTGCCAACATATAGCAAGTTTACTGTCAGTTCAACATAAATGTCCATTGTTTATTGAAGAACATTTCCCCAACATTAGAATTACCAAAAAGCAGTAAAATATAGCCGAACTTGATGTAAAAGTCAGTTTGACAAAACTGCTCAGTAAGGTGAATTAATGTGTGCTGGTGTTTTTTTTTTTTTTGTTTTTTTTGTATTTTTACCAGCAGCACTATGATTAATTGCATTAGTCCCATAATTACACCAAACAAAACCCCCACTATCTTGTTTTTTTAATATTTTTATAATTGTATTTTTGTAAACTGAAACAATCCAAATATCATTTTGTAAATTGCTCACAGATAAAAATACGAACGCACACCAAAGCACCGTGCCTTCGCAGCCTTGTAAACTCGCACAAGATAGATCATGCAAGCCATTAAGTGACATTTATATAAATAAAATCATTTTAATAATAAGTAACTTTGATAAGGTTCTATAAAAGATAATCAATGTATCCATCTATTAGATTTCCTCAGTATTGAGATTAAATGCAGTGCTAACTCTTCCCAGTATGCTAACATTGCAATAGAATTTTATTTTATTTTGTAAATCTCTTTAGAACTTGCAGTAACATACTGCTTGATAAGGTAATAAATACAGTTTTAATGCATTCCAAACTCTCTGCTAACTCAATGTCAATTTAAAGCAGGATAAGATAGTGCTGTGCTCTTCAAAGCTTACTCCGTCCCTAAATGTTGTAGTGCTTTTCATTGAAGGGATTTGAAATAAACTCGATACACGGACCATGTTCAGAATCAATGTTAGTCCCATTCTCTAATGTCCATACAACATGGAGTTCAATGTAAGGTCTGGCTGAGGTTTGTGCCAGTGTGTAATGCTCTCAGCTGATCAGTGGAGATTTTCTTCTTCATTCTGGCTTTCGGTAGTCAGTGATTGGTGTAGAAACTGCCCAGAGGCTCCGATATACAGTCTGGAACGCATCGGCCATTTCTAAAAGACAAAACCCATATAAGCTGTTAGTTCTGATGTGCTACTAGTGTAGGGGTCCCTGTGAATGCCAGAATGGTCAACCATTCCCCTGCCTGCAATTTCTCATCCTTGATTATGATTTGCAATTTAGTAGTAGTATTATTTTTTTGAAAATACCAAAATGTGAGTCTCAATTTAAAGGGACACTCTAGGTACTATGACAACTTCATATGGAAAAAGTTGTTATGGTGTGCGGTGGTGCCCAGGCTTACTGCAAGGGGTTAAACTGTTAACGAACGGTTTAATCCCAAATCTGGTGACCAATCACTCTGCCGATTTCCTTCTACCACAGTCCGAGGCTGGAAGCTTTTTTCCCACCACAACTATATTGGTATGTACTTCCCAAGTAACACCAAGCCTCCATAGCAAGCCAGTAGCCCATGATAGGCTGAGAACGTCAGCTAATTAATGATGTCTCTATCTGCGGCTCCCTGATTCCAGCGGAAGGAGATGAGTAGAGTGATTGGGTGGCCCTTTGGAGGTAAGCCAGCGCCATGGGACCTCCTACCACTATAACAACATCATTACAGTGACATTGTTATAGTTCCTGAAGTGTCCCGTTAACTGTCAATTCTGATGTTCTGATAAAAAATAAATAATAAATAAGCTGTGTTTGAAGAGGAGTTCTCTGAAAGTAACGCGGTAAAAATGGTATTTGAGGAAGAACTGTGTACAAGTAATCAGTTGTGTCCAAGTAATACAGTAATGAGTTGTGTTTGAGTGGAGCTCTGTGCCAGAAATGTACTATTGCGATATATTTGGTAGTAAGATACAGTATCTTCAGGGCCACCACCAGAAATTTCGGGGCCCCTAACTCAGCTCAGGGTCTGTCACCCCCTGATGGTGGCCCTGAGTATCTTACCCCTCACATTTTTGTAAATATTTTATTATATCTTTTCATGTGACAACATTGAAGAAATGACACTCTGCTACAATATAAAGTAGTAAGTGTACAGCCTGTATAACAGCGTGAATTTGCTGTCCCCTCAAAATAACTCAACACACAGACATTAATGTCTAAACCGTTGGCAACAAAAGTGAGTACACCCCTAAACTTACTACTTTACATTGTAGCAGAGTGTCATTTCTTCAGTGTTGTCACATGAAAATATATAATAAAATATTTACAAAAATGTGTGGGATGTATGTTTGAAGAGCTCTGTGCAAATAATGCAGAAATACCGTAAGTTCTATTTTAGGAGCTCTATGCCAGTAATGCAGTGTCTGAGGTAGAGCTCCAGACGAATATTGTAGTAATTAACTATTTTTGATGAGCACCGTGTGAGAAGTAAATTGTGCTAAAACAAATTTGCTCTCAGGTTTACTTTAAAACAATCTTCATAACTATTCTGTTTTAAAATGACCAATCTCCCCTCTCACTTTGTTTAACAAACCATGCATTTATTTTCCTTTAATTAAAACTGTATGAGATAAAACAAACACATCTTTCTTCTCTTGTATTTATGAAATTATTCTTCCCTGATTTACTCCAATATTTATTTATAAAGCTATGAATCAAAATGAAACCCATCACTGTCAGGCTGCTACATGGGATTACTGAGAATATTCCCAGCAGTCATGGGAAGTGATTAGTAAGGAGTTAATGTAAATTCATTTGCATGTGCAATGACCCAACATCCCCTGCTCCAGGAGGTTCATTTAGTGACCCAGGCAGAGGAAGAGGGAGCTGAATGGTAGGTGAAAGGTACTTTAGCTATGTTTCTGTAAGGAATATTGATTACCCAGAGCTCAGATAGACTGCATGCTAAATAAAATAAAAAATATGTATTTTTCTCTTTAATAAACATGCAGAACAATGTTTTTTTAATGAACTAGCATTTTTTTTTATAATTTTTGCTTTTGTTTTGTTTTTTTAAATATTTAAATGCAAAAACAAAAAAGTTGAACGTTATCACATGAAATCAGTTGGGCCTTTCGTTCATGCACAATGAGTGATGGCTTTCTAATACATTAACTGACGGCTAAATGGAAGCGAAGCAAATGACAGACTAAAAAGTGAATTTTTGGGATCTCAAATATTCACTGCTCGATGTTGCTAGAAGCTTGAACCCCCAATCTGGAAGCAGACAACAGCAATTCATTTGGGTGCTTTGGGGAAGCCCGTGGAAGACGCAGAATTAAGAAAACGATTGCTTCCAAAGTTCCGCAATAGGTATTTGCAGACATGGTCTTACAGGTTCAGATTTTTTAGGTCACCAGACTTTCCACATTATAAAATGCCATAATCTGTTTAACATCCCTGAGCTTTATGACTATTGACCTATCCTCCACCTTTATCTTCTGTCTACCATCTTGTTTTACATTTTTTTCTTTTTGAGGGCAGAATACATATTTTCTATATTACTGTCTTCTTCGCTACCCATTCTCGCATCCATTTTTCTAGGTTTTTGCTATCACTGCAGCGGGATCACTGCTTCTTACAGTCTACATTTCTCCGTTTGCATATAATAGTAATTCTCAATGGTTTTTCATGTATTCCCTTTATTTCAGGATTGCATATGATGAGAATAGTAGGCTTATTTGTGTATTATATTTATTGTTAAACCGTGTATGACATTATGTGCAATACATTGTCCCTTTATACATTTAGTTTAGAAACGCCATCTTGTTTTAAGACTTTTTTTCTCAATAATACTAGCATTACTGCAATTATTTTGTTGTGGGTTTGGTACATTTTTAAATTGTATGCATAATAATGATTTAAACTATTTTTTGTGAGGTTAACAATTGTTCTAAGAGTGAAAAGCACAGCATTAGCTTACTATATCCAGTCAGAAATATATATCTTTACTGTTTTAAGAGAACAGTGTGTTATTGCTGACTAAATTAAGAGCATGAAACGTGGCGTGTTTTGCGTTTTTTTTTTTTTTGGTACAGTCCACGGATAGATTTTTAGCATTCTGCCGGCAGACAAAAAAAAAAGCCACGTACCTCTAAAAACATTAGCATGTGCATAAAATGCAATTAATGAACTATCTCGGTAAAAACCATAATAGTAACCCCTTTTTAAAAAAATTAATCATAGCACCAATTTGAAACCTGAGATGATAGGCCACACAAGCCTAGGGCAAACAGACATCTTGGATAGACTGCTCAAAGAGGAAACAAAAGCGTACATTTACACATATTTTCATTTTGTCATTCACCTTTTACAGAAATATTTGGAGGATAATAACAGAAATCCCATTTTGTTGCATGTAATATATGTGAGAAAAATAAATAAAAATGATCAAATAACCTGCTAATGAGTGTTTTTACATAACCCGATGACATTTTTTTTTAAAGTCTGTTTCTGTACATGCAATGTGGTCGTGCAGTCACCTGGTTACAAATCAGGATCCTAGATTTTACTTTTTACGCTTTACAAACGCTATATATTATGATAGTAATCACTGACTGCTTTTTCCTGGGTATTCTCAGACAATGTTGATTAATGCATTCTGTTTTTACTTTCATTTGGTTTTATTTTAAGGTCTTAGTAATACATCCCCTTATGCCCGTATATGTTAGACTGTATAACCACCATGTTTAAAACACACATACAGGGTCACTGAAGAGTAAATTATCAGGGATTCAAAGAGAGTTTAAACTTTTTGGCCAATATATTTGAAACTGGGAACATAGTTGACTTGCACGTTATTCATTAGGGCGTGATTTGAAAGTGAATTTTAATTTAAGGTTAAATATATAAACTGAAAGCAAAACGGACTTAGAGAATGTTTCAAATTAGCTATTTTAACCTAACATTTGAATTGAATTCATTTGAATTTCTGACAATTCACACTGTAATAATTAACCCTGTCGGAGAACGTTTTCTATTCTGACTCAGTGTTAATTTTGATGACTAACAATTTTAGTCAAATTTTAGACGACTAAAATTTTGAAGATTTAGTCGACTAAAATTAGACTAAAACTAAAACAATTCAGATGGCTAAAAGACGAATAAAACTAAAATGGCTTTTTACTCAAAAGACTATGACTAAAACTAAATTGAAATTTGCTGCCAAAATTAACACTGCACAGACAGGGCCAGATTAAGAGCCCAGTGGGCCTGGTGCTAACAATTATGACGGGCCTAATTACATAATCATATCGACCAAAAACAGTAAAACACTCCCAAGCGTCATGTATCTGATGGAGATGGTGCTGGAGAGAAAGAAAACAGCAGCTATAAGAAAACACATACCCTAGGCTAATCTCCCTCTAATTTATGTTTTCATCTTTCAAGTAAATCCATAACCCCTAACAGCAGTGTCCAGTCAAGCAGGAAGTCAATGGGCATGGTAAAAGGGTGTGCCACTGACACAAATCACGTAACCTGCCAAAAGGGGCGAACATGCCCAAAAAGAGGACATGTCTGCCCAAAGAATTAGAAGGCCAGCCTGGTATGAATGCATGTCAGACTGCCTGCCAATCATGCAGCTGGCCAACTAAGGGCAGTCTGCTGACATCATTAGAAGTGATGGCCTAATCCAATTACAGTGCTTTCCCATAGGATTGGCTGAGACTGACAGGGAAGCAGATCAGGGGCAGAGCCAGCATGATTCAAACACAGCCCTGGCCAATCAGCATCTCCTCATAGAGATGAATTGAATCAATGAATCTCTATGAGGAAAGTTCAGTGTCTGCATGCAGAGGGTGGAGATACTGAATGTTTGGATGCATTATAGGCAGCCATAACCCAGGAAGGATCTCTAACAGCCATCTGAGGAGTGGCCAGTGAAGTTATCACTAGGCTGTAATGTAAACACTGAAGACAGTGTTTACAGCAAAAAGCCTGATGGTAATGATTCTACTCACCAGAACAAATTCAATAAGCTGTAGTTCTTCTGGTGACTCTAGTGTCCCTTTAACTATATTCATTGTCAGCCAGTCCACACAAGTTTTGTTCCCATACATCCCTCTTAAGTTTCCATACTTAAGTAAGAGTATGTGAAATGTAGTTAGGGTTGCCACCTTTCTTGGAAAAACATACCGGCCTTGCTAATTTGCATAATTAAATATGTATGGGTGACATCACATGATGTAAATCACAAGGAGTGATATAAGAGAAAATACTGTAAAATCACCAAAAAACTACTTAGTTTGATTCTGCTGTATAGATGGATTCCTCCCAGTGCCCCCATGTCTCCCAGTGCCCCCATGTGTCGATTACTCCAGGTCTCAGTGTTCCTATGTATCAGTGTCTCAATGCCCCATGTCTCCCTGTGTCCCCATGTATCCCAGGGTCCCCATGTCACTAGGAAGACGGGAAGACCTGGGGACACAGGGAGACCTAGGGACACGGAGACACCAGTGACACTGGGAAACTCGGGGACTCTGGCTGGGACGCATGGGGACACTGGGAAAATAGGGGACGCTTGAAGACATGGGGACATAGACACCAAGGACACAGACACTAGAGACACTGACTGGGGGACATGGGGACATTGAGACATGGGGGCACTGGGAGACATGGGGACAAGGAGACACCAGGGCCACAGACACTAGGGACACTAGCTTGGAGACATGGGGACATTGAGACACTTGAGGCACTGGGAGACATGGAGGCACTAGGAGACATCGGGACAGTGAGACACTGGGAGACTGGGGGTCACTGGGAGACTAGGGGGCACTGAGACACCAGGGACACTGGCTGGGAGACATGGGGATACTGTGTCCACATGTGTCTGTGTCATAATGTCTCCCAATGTCCCTTAGTGTCTCAGTGTCTGCCATAATGTCTCCCAGTGTCCCTTAGTGTCTCAGTGTCTGCCATAACGTCTCCCGATGTCCCTTAGTGTCTCTGTGTCTGCCATAATGTCTCCCAGTGTCCCTTAGTGTCTGCCATAATGTTTCCCAATGTCCCTTAGTGTCTCAGTGTCTGCCATAATGTCTCCCAGTGTCCCTTAGTGTCTCAGTGTCTGCCATAATGTCTCCCAGTGCCCCTTAGTGTCACAGTGTCTGCCATAATGTCTCCCAGTGCCCCTTAGTGTCTCAGTGTATGTCTCCTTGCAGCCTTTCCCCCATCCCTTACTTCCCTGAGCTGTAGGCTGTCTCTCTTGTTTATACTGAGAAAAATACCAGCATTTGTATTGCCAGTATCACTGCAATATTGGCACCAGCCAAGCAGCCTCAAATACTGGCTGTGCCAATAAAATAAAAGCCAGGTGGAATCCCTAAGAGTAGTGTGTGGAAAAAATAAAAATGTAAAAAAAAAATATTTTTTTTTATTTTTTTTATAAATCAATGGGCCTATTCCATGGGCCTGGGCCTGGGCCTGGAGCTGCAGCTCCATCAGCCCCTATGTTAATCCGGCCCTGTGCACAGAGGGGCTGTGGAAGGGGCAAAAGAGACAGATCAGGGCTTGGGAGAGGGACACCTAGAGAGACTGGGAGGAACAAAGAGACACAGAGGGATTGGGGAAGGGGCAAAAGAGACACACCAGGGTCTGGGAGAGAGACACCTAGAGGGGCTGGGAGCACACAAAGAGACACAGAGATGCCAGGGAAAGGGCAAAAGATACAGATAGAGGCTTTAACTAAACCTATTAGATTTTAGTCGTGTCGACTAGAATCTACTGGAGATTTAGTCAACCAAAACTAAACTAAAACAATTTGTTTCAGATGACTAAAATACAACTAAAATTGATTTTTAGTCAAAAGTCTATGACTAAAACGAAATTGTAATTTTCCGCCAAAATTAACACAGACTCTGGCTACTGTGGATGAAGATTTGAAATTCACTTTGAACACCCAACAATTCACACTTTAGTGAATAACCCTACATAAACAAGGTTATTCGCAAAAAGTGAGAATTCATAGTGAATTTGAAATTCAAGGTGAAAACCGTCAAACTGTAAAAGTTATCTTAGTAATCTCCACTTCCATTTTGGCTGCTCTTTTTTTCCCATTTTGAGGATCATTGGAGGCGAGCAACATGAGAAGGTTTCCCACCTGTTATTTTCCTTATTCTGTTATGTTTTGTTTGTGATGTTTTTCGCTGGAGGAAGAGTTTTAACCCTTTACTCGCCAGACATGGAGGGACCTACAGAGAAAGACAGAGGGACACTATAGTGCTAGGAATATAGTTTTATATTCCTCATGCAAAAGTGTTCCTTTAACGCTAATTGCTTCCTAAACGGACACTATAGTCACCAAAAGAACTTTAGCTTAATGACGCAGTTTTAGAGCACATATCACGTATATATCATGCCTCTGCAGTTTCAATTCTCTGCAATTTAGGAGTTAAACTTTTTTGTTTCTGTCCATGCAGACCCAGTCACACTGGCATACAGTCTGCATGAATGATTTTTTTCCGTTTTTCAATCAGATGCTAAGTTACTTTACAAGTAGTTAATTTTATCTCATGTTTTAAAAATGTTACTTTAATCACACCCTGCAAGGACTGGCAAGCTAGTAACAGTGCCGGAGATGAGAACTTCTAAATTAAACAAACTGTGCAATAAAGGAAGTTTAAACATTAGATCTCACTGTACAAAAAGTGTTTATGAAGGCTGTGCAGGTTACATTTAGGAAGATGTGAACAGGGCTACATAAACAAAGTGATTTAACTCCTAAACACTAAAACTTGCCTAATTAAGATAATGTTGTTTTAGTGACTATCGTGTCCCCTTTATTCAATTTATCCGTTTATGCTATATAAAGAAGAAGTGCCACTTAAGACACTCTTGAGAATGCTTTTGAGCCTTCTTGAAGTTGGGTAAGATTCAGTTTGGTGCAGATTGGTAAATATTTTAATACTTGGCTATTACTAAACATAGCTCATGAAATTGGGCAGCATAAAACTTCAAAACTTGGCAGGAAATTAGCATTTTATTGCATAGAACCACTATTCATTTTTGCATAGTAAAAACTAATTTATAACACTAAGTTTGTGTGTTTGGTAATGAAAACTATCCATACCTTAACAGGGTGAAGATATCCATCCCCATTATGCAGGGTCCCCAAGAGTTCTGGACTAAGATTTCCTGAGTTCTTCGGGGTACTGGGCTGGTGATTGCCGCTGCTGCTTTCATCTTCCTCCTGAAGGCTGCGGGTAAGGTGGGCAATGTAGGTTGTTGCCAATATGAGCACATCCAGCTTGGATAGTTTGGTATCTGGTGGCACAGAAGGTAGTGTCCTCTGAAGCTCCAGGAATGCATGGCGCAAGGTCTGTACTCTGTTTCTCTCCCGAGCAGCATTGGCGGCAGCAGGTCGATTTCCCATGTTGTTGCCATTACTTCCTCCAGCTTTTCCTCCCTCAGCTTTTCCTCTTCCCAGCAAATTATGTGAATCTTGTACAGAGCCACCAGGAGACTCGTCTCTGCCATGCACTAGACTAGACACAAGAGGGCGCTGCACTTTCTCCACCATATCCACACTAGACACTACAAGAAAAATGAACCAATCAAATAGTGACCATGAGCAGGCTAGCAAGTTTCACACCAGGATTCCTTGTCTCAATAATTATCTGCATTTAATGTTCATTTATAGGGGCAATTGCACTTTTTTTTTTTTTTTTAACCTATAAATTAACCAAATAGCAGGAGCACAGTACATATAAGTCAACCAACGCAGTTAGCTCACTTGAGTCTGGACTTTGTGGGAATTGGCGGAATGCCTAAATGTGTTTATCTTTAATTTCATATATTGTAAAGCACTGCTAGTAATGCTATGATGGAATACACCCAAAGCTATTAAAAGAGCTTAGTGGTGTACTAGCAAAACCATTAACAGATTTATTTAACCAATCATTGTTAACAGGAGTAGTCCCAGAAGATTGGAAGTTAGCGAATGTTGTGCCCATTTACAAGAAAGGTATTAGGGAGGAGTCGGGCAACTATAGGCCAGTAAGCCTTACTTCAGTAGTGGGGAAAGTGATGGAAACCATGTTAAAGGATAGGATTGATGAACATATAAAAACACATGGATTTCAAGATCAGAGACAACATGGGTTTACTTCAGGGAGATCATGCCAAACTAATCTTATTGATTTTTTGATTGGGTAACTAAAATTATAGATCAGGGTGGTGCAGTAGACATTGCTTACCTAGATTTCAGTAAGGCTTTTGACACTGTTGCACATAGAAGGCTTATCAATAAACTGCAATCTTTAAGTTTGGATTCCAATATTGTTGAATGGGTAAGGCAGTGGCTGAGTGACAGGCAACAGAGGGTTGTAGTTAATGGAATATATTCGAAGCTTGGACTTGTCACCAGTGGGGTACCTCAGGGATCTGTACTTGGACCCATTCTCTTTAATATTTTTATTAGTGATATTGCAGAAGGTCTTGATGGTAAGGTATGTCTTTTTGCTGATGATACTAAGATATGTAACAGGGTTGATGTTCCAGGAGGGATAAGCCAAATGGCAAATGATTTAGGTAAACTAGAAACATGGTCAGATTGTGGCAACTGACATTTAATGTGGATAAGTGCAAGATAATGCATCTTGGACGTAAAAACCCAAGGGCAGAGTACAGAATATTTGATAGAGTCCTAACCTCAACATATGAGGAAAGGGATTTAGGGGTGATTATTTCTGATGACTTAAAGGTAGGCAGACAATGTAATAGAGCAGCAGGAAATGCTAGCAGAATGCTTGGTTGTATAGGGAGAGGTATTAGCAGTAGAAAGAGGGAAGTGCTCATGCCATTGTACAGAACACTGGTGAGACCTCACTTGGAGTATTGTACACAGTACTGGAGACCGTATCTTCAGAAGGATATTGATACCTTAGAGAGGGTTCAGAGAAGGGCTACTAAACTGGTTCATGGATTGCGGGATAAAACTTACCAGGAAAGGTTAAAGGATCTTAACATGTATAGCTTGGAGGAAAGACGAGACAGGGGGGATATGATAGAAACATTTAAATACATAAAGGGAATCAACACAGTAAAGGAGGAGACTATATTTAAAAGAAGAAAAACTACCACAACAAGAGGACATAGTCTTAAATTAGAGGGACAAAGGTTTAAAAATAATATCAGGAAGTATTACTTTACTGAGAGGGTAGTGGATGCATGGAATAGCCTTCCAGCTTAAGTGGTAGAGGTTAACACAGTAAAGGAGTTTAAGCATGCGTGGGATAGGCATAAGGCTATCCTAGCTATAAGTTAAGGCCAGAGACTAATGAAAGTATTTAGAAAATTGGGCAGACTAGATGGGCCGAATGGTTCTTATCTGCCGTCACATTCTATGTTTCTATGTTTCTATATATCAGCACTACAGGGGACAAAAATGCATTAAAATTTAAACAGCTCAGGGGGCATTTGCCCTCTAACTCCAATTTCAGAAACTAGATGTCTGTCTTTAGTTGTATAGTTCTATTTCCAAAAAAAAAAAACAACAACTCTTTATTTTTGGCATAGCCTGGCATTTATTGTAAAGGATTATGTGCATGTGACACAAGAGCCATGCCTTGTAGTAAAACGGTCCCCAACACTCATGTGGATAATGGCTGCACTGGCTATCTATAAATGCTGTGCAGGCAAGTTCATTTTTTAATTGTCTTCTCTGTACATGAAAAAGGGACTTGGCTGTCTCAACAGGTAGCACTACTTTAAAGGGACACTATAGTCACCCAGACCACTTCAGCTCAAGTAAGTGGTCTGGATGACAGGTCCCCCAGGCTTTAACCCTTCAGATGTAAACATAGCAGTTTCAGAGAAATTGCTATGTTTACATTGCAGGGTTAACCCAGCCTCTAGTGGCTGTCTTCCTGACACCCGCTTGAAGCGCTTCTGCGACGCTGGAATGCGAAAATCGCGTTCAGCGTGCATAACGTCCATAGGAAAGCATTGAGAAATGCTTTCCTATGGACTGTGTGAATGCGCGCAAGGCTATTGCCGCGCATGCGCATTCCTCTCCATTCGGAAGCCATCATCGGAGTGGGACGAGAGGTCACCAGCGCCGATAAGCCCGGCGCTGGATTAAAGTAAGTAACTGATGGGGTTTTAACCCCTTCAGCGCCAAGGGAGAGGGGCCCTGAGGGTGGGCGGGACCTAAGGGTTGTATAGTGTCAGGAAAACAAGTTTGTTTTCCTGACACTATAGTGATCCTTTAAAAAGGAAATTGTATTCATTTACTATAATAAAGCAATTGAATGAAATAATTAGTTGTATTCTACAGGACCAGAGACCATTTCATTATACTGATCACATATTGTTTATTAAACAGAATAACTTGTGGAAATAGAATTATCATCCAGTAACCTGTAATATTTCAGACAGAGGTGTCAGAGATATGTAAAAACAATTCTATGTTTCTATGTAAACAATGTAGTTTTGAGAAAAATAATGAACATGATTTTAATTAGTAGAGGTTGTAATTATAAAAACTATTTTGCGAATTTGAGCTATAATTTTCTTTGAATCTTGTATTATTTTCCTTTCTAAAACTGCCTACCTCAAGTGTTCCTATAGTCTATATGTATGTAGATATATTTCTACTTTGAGGAGTAACCAATATCCTATTTTATTTTGGTGGGTGGGGTGGGAGTTCTCATAATAACTAGGCCAGATGCATAATGAGAATTAGGTAGAGTTTGACCCAACTCTGTTGAATATATACACACACACACACAGGTCTGACTTCTGGACCTGTGACATGTGAGTTTTCAAACAACTAACATTTCTAAGAAGTCACAGCAGGTGGTGCTTACAGGTGCTTAGATCACTAAAACTGGAAAATGATTTACCGTGAAGAGAAAAAGTCCCAATAACAACACCAAATGTTACACAAAGACAAACTGCATTGGCAAAGAGGAAAGGCTTGTCTATAAAGATTGATGGATATTTCACATGATATTTGCTAAATGCCACAAGTAAGTTCTCGATATTAAAAACCCAGAATTGAACCAACACATCTATGAGGCACAATCAAAAAATGTGTCCTGTGATCATCACGAAACTGGAATATATGGCTGGTCTTCCAGGGACACAAAACCCAGACACATAATCAGGGCCGGAATGGGAAAAAAATACGGCCCGGGAATTTTTAAATCACAGATGAGATGGGGTGGGGCCAGAAAGGTTGTGTTTTAATCACTAATGACAAGCAAGCCCCCTCTTTAAATTGAGTATGTTGGTTTAATGTGCAGAGCTCTGTTGAGAGCTCTAGCATGAGAAAAAGGCCCTGTGTATCGTGCATGTGCTTGGAGCTTTCTTGTGGGATTGCGTGTGTGTAGAGTGAGCTGATTGTGGTGTGGTATTGTGTAAATAGGTCAATTTCATTTGTGTTTGTGGTGTAAAATGTGTGGGTAGGGGCTGTAGAGAGTATGTGTATAAGGGGCATAGTGTGGTGATGAAGTATGTGTAGGGTTTGTAGAGAGTGTGAGTGTTTGTGAGAATGTAGTATGTGTTTGCTTACAAGGAATGTAGTGTGAGCATAAGGGATCCAGAGTGTGTATGTCAGGAATTTAGTGTGTGTATAGGAGATTGTGTGTGTGTGTGTGTGTGTGTGTGTATGTATAGGATTCAGAGTGTATATAGGGATCTAGTGTGTGTGTGTGTAGATTAGGTGATCCAGAGATGAGTAAGGGAACTAGCGTGTATCTGAAACATAATGTGTGTAGTGGTGCAGTGTGAGGGCTGCTGTAGTATATATGTTTGGACGTATTGTATGTGTGAGGGGCGCAGTGTGTTGAGTGTGCTGTGTGTATGTGTGAAGAGTGCAGCATGTGTGTGTGTGAGGGGTGAGGAGTGTGTGCTGTGTGAGGGTGCTGTGTGTGTGTGAATATGTTTGAGGGATTGTGTGTGTGGGTGGCTGGGGGTGGACAGATTTTAATATATATGTGTTTGTTTTTTTAATTTAAAAGAAAAGTTATATCCCCCCCCTCCCTTCTTACCTTTTGCCTGTGAGGGAGAGGAGGGGGAATGGGGAGAGGCCGTACTGCCATCCCTGGTATTTCTAGTGGTGAGTGAACTCTAGCCTGTGGGACTAGAGTTCACTCTTGCGAGATCTGCGCGTTGCCGTGGTAACTGCGGCAATGCTCAGTCCTCGCGAGAGGAACCCGGCAGAGCTGCAGGTAAGAGCTCCACCAGGTCCACCTCTCCCTCCCAAGCCGGTGGCTGCTTGTTAGTGCTAGTGGGCTGGTGCCGGAGATCTTTGATCTACCCACCAGCCCATGAAGGCACACAGCAGAGCCGGCGCTCAGACAGCGATCACAGGATCTCCCCTGCCGGCCTCGGCCCATGGCCATCGGGGCCCACCGGGCATTTGCCTGATATGGTAATGTAATATGGTCCACTGAGTCATCTTTGACACTGTTGTATTGTACAGCTAAAGAAGTTTTTATTTGGTGAAAGACAATTTATATCTTCATCCAACAATGTCTGATGTGCAATGATATGCGGATCTCAATAGAATTACTATATATATATATATATATATATATATATATATATATATATATATATATATATATATATAAAAAATATATGCTTTTCACGGTCATATAATCGTCAAGTACTGACAGGCCATTAAAGGGACACTAAATTAAGTGGTAAGAGTTAATGCACCAATAGTACAAATTTTTTTTCACTTTCCCTTTTCCACCAGTTTTGTGACATTGCTTCGTTGGTTTGTATCAAACCGTTTCTACGCCATTATACATTGGGGGTGTTATTTTACGTCTTATGCAAAAAAACAATCAGTGTTTCTGCTGCTTTTTATTTCTCAGTTTTCCTGATGATTTTCCCATTGATTACATTCACACAATGAAACTAATGGTTTATATATTTGGGGGAGGAGGGGAGACACTCCCACTTTCTATGTTAGTGCAAAAATATATATATTTATTTTTTTAAGCTAATATCGCAAAAAGGCTACAAGCACACGGATTGAAAATAAACAAAATCATTCACAGGTTTATCGACTACACAGAGAATGTGTGAGAAAAGACAACTGAACTGCAAATATTGGGCTAAAATGCTCTTAGTTATTTAATAAGATATTAGTGTTCCGTAATTCACATTTCAAATTTGAAGCTAAAATTACTGAATTGAAAACATAGCCATTTGGCTAATTTTTTTAAAATGAAAACATTTGAAAATGTGAAAATCACTTTGAATAAGTGCCTATTTCTAACCGATTCCCATGGAATACTTATCACCTGCAATATATGTTCAGAGCGGTATTTTTGCTGTTAGTTTATTGGGGACATTCCAACATATAGCATGATAAATATGAAAGCATCCAGGATCCTGTAAATAACAATCTTAATATGGTGATAACTGACAGGATGTCAGCTGCAAAGAGGCAGAGAGGTGAATTGTTCTGAGTTAATCTCTTACTATTTACACTTGTCACTTGATGTCCGTTAACCCCTTGAGTGCCAGGAGGGTCTGTAATACATATTCTACTTGACGGCACTTATGGACAGTTAAACTTTCCAAAAATAAATCTGACGGATTTAGAGGAAATGAATCTAAACATGGCTATGTATGTTTCTGTTTTTAATTCCACAATCTGAATGATTTTTGTACAGGGGACAGCCGTCAGACCATGCGAAGATAAATGCACAGTGGGATAATAGGGAGGTGATTTATCAAAAAAGTGGCGCAGCTGGTTTCACCCCAGAACGGTGTCGCATTTTCTGTTTGCGACAATATTTTTTTCGTCTGCGCCACATTTGCCTTGTTTGTGCCTTTCCACACAGTCTCATTCTGTGTCTCTTTTGTTTAATAATACGTAAAGATGCTATCGAGGTATAAAATTAAAAATGTGCAAGAGCGCACTTTTTTCTGACAAATTTTTCCCGTCACTGTCAGATTGCTGCATTTCTTGAAGCAGGTAAGCAAGCAGTTTGTTTATTTTTGATTCAAGAATAAAAAGTCTGCAAAAGTTGCAAATGCCTTTTGTTCCTCGTTTGTCTTATATTCACAACGTAATCAATGGTAAAAAATTTTACAGAAAATAGAAGCAAAAATTAAAAAGAGAAAGGAAGTGTGGCAAAAAGATGGATTATTTTGGCACATTAAAGAAAAAGAAAAAAAATCAATCCATAAAGGATAGAGTAATCGTTTTATATATATTACAAAAATGTTGCATGTTCACAGAACTGATATGTGAAATGTATATAAATCACGCCGTATATTGAATAATAACATACTGCTAATTAGTTTAACAGCGGCCTAAGGTCCAAGACTTGTCAACCAGTGGAGAAAATGTATACACAGGTAGCTGTGCAGAAACAAAAATAATAAGATAAAGATGATATTAATAGAATGAATTTGGCATGGAAAACTAGCAATCATTCAAAAAAAAAAAATAGAAAATGACAATATAAATGAAATGAGCAGGTGATATTTATTCGTAAACTCATGAAACTTAAAATTGCTGACAATTAAGGGCTGAATGGCAAAGGTTAGGCTAAATAGCCAAATTATGCCATTGTATTTCTAGATAACCTATTTCCGCCTAAATTTTGCAGTTTGGATTTCAATTCTCTACAAATCGGAGTTGAATGATTAAACACTCTTGGGGTTTATTCGCTACGTACTGGATTGTAATTAGGTAAAAACTGCAAAATGTAGGCTAAATTAGCAGAGCTGTGACAACAGCTGAGTTTAAGAATTGTTAAAAATCAGCAAGTTTTTCCTGAATTTTAAAATTCTGTTTTCATTTCTAGTTTATTGGGGTCAAGTCCTCTGGACTCGATAATGGCATACAACGCTTTAAAAAGGGGAGAAATGATACAAGGAGCTGTAGTGGTTATATTGCATAGAATGTCCCTTAACCCCTTAAGGACCAAACTTCTGGAATAAAAGGGAATCATGACTTTTGCTAGTACCAACAAATCAAATTCCTTTTAATCTACACCAGAGAGGATTGATCCATCCGGTATTTACCTATGGTGCTTTGTTCTATTAAATAGACTCCACAGGTAAATCATGGATGGATCGATTCTTTGGGGCATAAATTAAAAAGGAGTTTAATTTGTTCGAATTGTGTACGAGTCAAGTTTCCTCATTTTGGGCTGCACACACCTGTTACACCTTTCAATGGAAGTAGCATGTCATTCTAATTTGATTGCTCTCTCCTAAAAGCCTGATCATTTAATATACGAGCGAATTGAGACAATGAACAATTACATCTTGGCAGACTACATCCTACCAGGGATTGGATTATTGCACTGAAAGTAAGCACAATCAGTGTATGTAATAGTAACAATAACTTAGAAAGTAAAGGCGAATTAATATATACAGTTATTTTAGTTTTGTGCACTTGGCAAGTTTCAGTTAAACTGCTTTATATTTGTATTTTTGAGGTCATTTTTCCATTTACAATAATGACTAATAATAATTTTGATTAAGTTATATAAGTTGGCTGGTAAGGTCTATTAGTCCCTATTTTTAATAAATAAATGTATGTATGTGTGTGTGTGTGTGTGTGTGTGTGTGTGTGTGTATATATATATATATATGTGTATATATATATATATATATATATATATATATATATATCTCTATCTCAATTCTAACCATGCATTAATATCATACATAAATACATACTTTGAACATAACTATTATAGCAATTTGATTTAATATTAATATAGTATAGTGTTTGCACTTCTGTAGAAATACTATATATTTAGAGAAATAGATGACTTTACATAGATCATCAATGCAATTGAAGATTAATTAATTGTGTTTTCAGTTAATTTATTGATCTAAGTGAAATTGCGTTTCCCGGCACTTTCATGTAAGAAAAATATTTACACAAATATATCCCGTTTTTAAAAATCGAATCAATTTTGTAACATGTGATATTTATTAAGTGCATCTGATTATAGAGTGGATTTCTAGATTGTACAAAAACGAAACTAACACCAACACATACTGTATATTAACTGTGTACACATGACGTGGGTTAATAGGTCATATTTTTACAACCAATTTGATTAACACATTCCTTTTACATTCATGAATAACTGTATTTTTTATCATGCGATATAAAAATGTGCTGATTTTATAGTATGCATACATTTTTCTTTTTCTTGCCTATATACACAGAAATAATTACTTTTACATTAAATGCCGAAAATAATTCACAATAAATGAATTTTGCATTAAATAAAAAATCCGACCCTAAATAGATCGTTTGGGGGTTTTAAACGTCCTTTAAATAAATGTTCTAATTGTAAAGCAGGATTTGTAATCTCCCTCTCAATGGTTTCTTTACAGCGTTTTCTTTCACATAGAATTCTGGTACAAAAATGATAATTCGTGTTTTAGATGTGATTGTTAAACAAAATGCATTTAGTGAGTTTCAGTTTTTGTTTTTTTTCTGGTACATTGTGACAAAACATAACATCAGAAAAAAAGAAACACTACAAAAATAAATACAAACATGAACATTGAAACACTGTGTTATTGGTAAAAATTAGAAATGAGTGAGATACCTGGGTCCAGTACAGTCAGGGGCTCACACCAGTCAAGTATTTGGAGGGAGCACACAGCAGTTTGGATCTGAAGAGGGGATCAGCGTTAGTAAATGAGGAGGGAAGTTACGCCAGTCTACTGAAGTGAGAATAACTAGTCCAGTGGGTTGGGACAGCAGAACTGCCTGCAGGATTTTCGTTCACTGTAGAAGATGTTCTGTAGTGTCACTGTCTACTGTCCCCAGTATTAGACTATTAGGGGTCTGTCCAGAGGGGGCTTCTGTGCTGTGATTGCTGTCGATGATTGGAGAAGTGTGTGTCTGTCAAATGGACTGCCCTTAACATTACTGCAACTACCAGCAGAAAGGGGAGGTGGCCCTGATTGGGGCAGCTCTGAAACTTACAGATTGTTGGCTGCCCCCCTCCTTTCCATCCCATCCAGCGATCAAATGACTTCAGCTTAACCCATTCAGCCTGTGTCATCATAGCAATAGGAGGACCCTTCTTGTTCCTTTTGACACCGACAGGGTTATTTACCAAAGTGGTTTTCCAATTTAAGACCAGAATAGGTGAATTAAAAGCATAGCTGATTTGGAGATTTTTTTTTTCTAATTCGGCAGTTTTTACCTTAAATTTGAAATTCACTTTGAATTCTCAGTTTGGTGACTAGCAGTTCTTTAGCAGTAATCTTTGCCTTTCCAATACTGGTAGATAGTGTCATGGCCAAATTTGCTGTGGAATATTGCTCTCTGTGTGTCCATTATATTTTAATTACTATTGAACAGCCAGGAGACTCCCCTCATTAGAAGCATTTGGAAATGGCTGAATGTGAGTGTGTGTTGGACTGGCTGAATATAATTGTGTGTGCGTGCTGGCTGAGTGTTATTGTATGTGAGGGCTGGCTGAGAGTGATTTACTGTGGAATTTCCGTGCACGTGTGTGTGTGTGTGTGTCTGGTTCAATGTGATTGTGTGAGGGTTTGCGAATGTGATTGTGCATAGAGGTGGCAGAGTGTGATTAAGTGAGCGGTTGACTGAGTCAGATTTAGTGTGCGGTTGGCTGAGTGTGATTGTGTGTGGAAGTGGCTGAGTGTGGGTGTTGCGAGTGTAATATTTCAATTTAAACACTTATTACCCCCTCTAGCATAATTAATTGCAGGGTATGAGTATAATCCCTGGTGGTACAGCAAGAGTATGATTCCTGGTGATCTCTGTAGCGCTGACAGCGTTTCTGGTGGTCCAGAGGGGAGCACCTGATCTGTACCTTTGGTGGGTGCAGACCACATAAACTTTCTTCCTGCCCAGCACAAATGTATCATTTTGCCATTCTGATTTGAACTCCTTCTATTGTGATGTCATAATAATATACTTTTGTTATAAGTAAAAGTATTAATCTTGATATCTGAACTAGCATATCTGCTCCCAAACAGGAATTGCTTCAGCCATCATTCACTGGTGGAAGCTACGGACAATTAATGCCGATATAGAATTAATAAACATCTTGGAAGATCCTGCTGACCCCAAGAGTCCTAGAGTAACAGTATAAACAGCAAACTGTAGTACACTGAAAATCAAAACTGCAATATTTAGTCCAAATAGCAGATTATGAAACATTTCCCAATTCCTCTATACTGACAGCCTTTTCTGTTTTTAAATAAATTATACAAATTGCTTTTCAACTGAATAAACTCATCTCTAACAAAAGTGTGTATTATTTTATCTCCCAAACGAACTCTTTATTTAAAGGGTTGCAAGTTATCTCAATGTATGATGTAGTTCAAAGCCCATCTGGTTAATCAAGGGGAAATGAACACCCCTTAAACTTGTGATAAGATATTAACCCTTTAAGACGCCTAAATTGCACTTTGTAGTCATTCCAGTCTGGTCCCCACAAAACCTATATAGAATATTGGGCTGATGACACCCCAATGATTCTACTGGTGATTGAGTTACATCTCCAGCAGCAGAGGGATTAACTCCGTATGTGCAGCATTTCGCAACCAAACAATGCACATAAGGACTGCTGACACCATAACCACTTAATATCACTGAAGTGGTCATGGTGTTCAGAATAACCCTTTAACTGAATGGATCATGATACGTTGGAATAGAAATATTAATTACTGGATTTTTTGGATGGCATAGACCCTATGTAGGCAACCACACTATAACCACTACAGTCCACTGTAGTTGAAATGGTGCCAGGAGTGCCCCATTTTACGTTGGCAAATGGTTGTTTTAACTTCTTACAAGGGGTCCGCATGGCACCGCTTCTCACCTTCTCTCAGCTAGAGAACTCGAATCTCCTACTTAGGAGCTTCCTTTACCTCTAGTGAGACAAAAAAAGCGTCAGCTTATCACTCTCAGCCAATGAGCTAAGCCCTGCACCTACTGGGCATGGCGCAGACAGAGAGTTCTATAGCTGCAGACAGTGGTAGTGGAGACGGACTCCAGGTCAAACTGCTAGCTGGCCCTGTATGCAGAGCAGAGACCTCCACGCTTATATTCACATGGTTCTATTTAGTGAGAAGTACCCAGTGGCATTACTACTACCCATTGCATGTTATACCATAATCGTCTTAGTATAGCTATCCAAATTCTAACTTATACCATGCTTTATGTTTTACAATAAAAAAAAGTGCTGCATCTCATGATTACCCATGTCTTACCTTGTTATATTCCATTATGCTATGTCTTACTACTGAAACATGGATCTCACTCTGCACTACAAAAATAAAGAATTTAAAAAAAAGTCAAACTAATCTTAAACGATGGGGGTGTACAGGGCACTACTGGCACTATAACCTCTTCAGCGCCACTGTGTTCCTTTAAATTTGTTACATTTTAGTCGTGCAAATATGTGTACAAACTGGTAAAAACACATAATTGAAAATATAGATTTACAATCAGCTTATCGAACTTTGCCAAGCAAGGTTACGGCGCTTATTTTTGTTTTAGTTCGCTTTGCAATAAGACAGTAAGTCTTAAGGCATCTGAGTATGAATACAAGAAACTGATAAAATATGCTAGATTCCCGAGGAGTAATAGAAAATTACAGGTAGGCAGATAATATGTAATCAAACTTGTGCCCACCCTGGAGGCCCCACTTTGATCTAATGGAAAAAAATAAAGAGCAGAAAACAAACTAAAATATTTACAGGAGGTAAGGACACTCGAAGACCCTGCTGTGGAATGGGTTGAGTGTAGGTCAGTGCAGCTCAGACTATGTCCTCCAAATGTTTAAGAACATTTATGTATATTTATTTTATAATTATTAATAACAAAAATACTAATAAGTTATCTATATTTTGGAAGAAAATCAGTTTTAAAAGGACACTATAGTCACCAGAACAAATACAGCTTATTCTATTTGTTCTGGTGAGTAGAATCATTCCCTTCAGGCTTTTTGCTGTAAACACTGTCTTTTCAGAGAAAACGCAGTGTTTACATTACAGCCTAGAGATATCTTCACTGGCGCCTCTTCAGAAAGCTACAAGAGGTGCTTCCTGGGGCAGTGCTGCACAGTGTGGAGACACTGAACATTCCTCATAGAGATGAATTGATTCAATGCATCTCTATGAGGAGATGCTGATTGACCAGGGCGGTGTTTGGCTTGTGCTGGCTCTGCCCCTGATCTGCCTCCTTGACAGTCTCAGCCAATCCTATGGGAAAGCATTATGATTGGCTGAGAGAATCACTTCTGATGATGTAAGCCAAGCAGGCAGATCAGGGGCAGAACCAGCAGCTTCAGACATGAAGAAAAGTAAGGTTTTACTATATTTAGAAGGGTAAGGGGACCTAGATGGTGGTTTTAACATTGTAGGGTCAGGAATATATGTTTGTGTTCCTGACCCTACAGTGTTCCTTTAAAGAAGATTAGTATGACTTTTTTTAATGTGGGTATTTTCAATTACATTTGACTTGGTGCAAATATTTGAAATAAGAACTATAATTGAAATAATACACACATATATAAAAGTAATGTCATGAACCCTTCCTCTTGCTTTGCTTTCCTTTTGTAAAACAGCGATAGTGCTCTCAATAAAATCTTGAATGGTAAAATAAAATAATAAAATATACTCACAGTGTATAGGGCAGGCTAACTGCTCTATGTAACAGCGTAGGTGGTATAATCCCCACCTGGGATTCTTGCAGTATGGTATACAGGACTTAAAATAATAAAATATAAATAAAAAATAGAAAGTTATTAAAATAGCCAGGTAATAGAAAAGATGATGGTTTATACGTAAAAATGACCAAAATGTTTTATTAACAATATATAAAATAGTTTAAAATATCCATAAACTATTTTATATATTGTTAATAAAAGATTTTGGTCATTTTTACGTATAAACCATCATCTTTTCTATTACCTGGCTATTTTAATAACTTTTTATTTTTTATTTATATATATATTTTTTTTTTTTTTATTATTTTAAGTCCTGTATACCATACTCCAAGAATCCGAGGTGGGGATTATACCACCTACGCTGTTACATAGAGCAGTTAGCCTGCCCTATACACTGTGAGTATATTTTTATTATTTTATTTTACCATTCAAGATTTTATTGAGAGCACTATCGCTGTTTTACCTTCTCTTCGAGCTCCTGATACTCCAATCAAGATCACTCCTCATATATCCCATAAGCGGGGATGATACCGCTGTACGCCTAACCAACTAGAGCTAGCCTAAGCTCTATCGAATGTGAGTGTATCTACCATATTTTATTATATTTTTTATCAGTGTAGAACATACTGCACCATTACTGTCTTCATTTTATCTTCCCCAACTACGGCCACCTGCTACCACAAAGAAGAGGATACCTGCCGAATATCCTGTAAGCGGGGATAATACTGCTGCAAGCTATCCACACCAGAGCTGGGTTAAGCTCTGTTAATTGTAAGTAAGATCTCTTCTACTTCTTATATTTGGACTACTCTCCACGATACCGTACCTTCTGAACCCCACCAAAAGTAGAACTTTGGACACGACAATATACATTGAACTCAACACTCAGTGTACACATCGGCGCAGACCCATCCCCCATTTTTTTTCTGCTCCTACCATTTGTATTCCAAGGACACTAGAGGGAATCCTTGTTTGGGACTGCTGCCTCTCTGACTAGCGCTGACTCAACCCCCCGCTTTGCTTTCCTTTTGTAAGCTGGAGGGTAATTCCATGATGACCACTGCAGGTTTGGCGGGTGCAGATCATTTGCACCCCCCTTCAGTTTGATGCTCTGCAATTTGAATTGATGCAAAGCAACCACTCAGGAAGGAGAAGTACAAGTGGGCTGCATGTGCTGGAGGTGTT